TGATTATTCTCATCAGTTTGAAGTGACTTTAAACAGCTCAACATGTTCTCACCTGGTTTCTCACCTGAGGATTGAGATCTGAAGGGAAACACCTGCACTCTGTCACCATCAGTCACTTCACATGTAAATAACTNCAATTATCTCTTAGTTCGCTGGATACTACAATGACATTTGTCCAACAGTTAGACCGTGAGCCAGATGATAGAATAGAATAGAATAGAATAGAATAATACTTTATTGTCTACCTTCTATTCTATTCTATTCTATTCTATTCTATTCTATTCTATTCTATTCTATTCTATTCAATCATCTGGCTCATGATAACTGCTAAGATTACTAAAATTATACTGTGAATGTAGGGTACTCATGTTCAGTCACTGGTGAAGATGGAGATATTGTGAGATTAAAATGAACTTCATCACTGTAATCATAATTATTGTAATGTTTCAGTATATTGTTCTAACAAGACAGTTTGAGCTGAAAACATTATGATGGAAATACTCACTGGTAACAACAGACAGTTCAACCACAGCATCTTGACCTTGTTGTCCTGATTCATCAAACTGTCTGCAGGTGTAACGTCCAACATCCTCACGTGTGACCTTCTTTATAACCAGAGAACAGTTTGCTGTAACACTCAGTCTGTCTGATTTAGCTTTGGCATTTTCACTGATCTGCCCACCACTAACAACCACCACTGTTGCTTTGCTTCTTGAATCAGTGAAGAGCCATGTAACACTGTCACAGTTATCCTGACTGTCCATCGCATTTTCACAAGACAAAGTGACGTCATCTCCAACTCTGGCAGTGAAGGAGAGGAAACCCTGTTCAGTTATTGCTGTTAAGAAAATGAGAGAGACATATAAAGATAAATAACAAATCAGTACCAATGTCAGAGTGAAGATCATTTTAGATACAACAAAAGATTGTTCACTAAACTCACTATTCACCTCGCTGGAAAACAAACAGACCAGACTGTCTTTAGATAAGAAAGTGATACTGATGATAATAATTTATATTTTTTTTAAATGTTTGTTGTCAATACATTTGTTGCATGTGTTCTTACCTGTTAACTGAAGAAGCAGTATCAGAATTAAAGACATTTTAATCCATCTGCATTCAGCCATCCTGAGTTTTTTTCCTGTCCCCTCTCAGCTGTGAACTGTCAGAGTCTCTGAGCTGATGTGTGTGAAAGACAAATGGAGAAACTACCTGCTGTGTTGAGTATTGTGTCACTTCCTCATTGTGACCTTTTTTTAGAACAACTTTTGTATGTTGCTAAATTCATGTTCCTGGTTACTCAGCCTATCATTCTTTTTTTAGTCTTCCTGCCAAAGACAGTTTACATTTCAGACAGTTTACTATATTCACATTGATTTACACTACAATAAACTGTATCCATCAGCAACAACAATCATCAGCAGCCTTAGAAGGAACCAACAGTAAAGAGGTCAGGAGTCAGATCACAGCGGCCCTATTAGTAAGCCTGTGGAGGAAAGCGAAGGAGAAAATCCGAGGGGATCAGTAGTTGTAGTTAATGAGGTGGGTGTAGGCTACTTCTAGGCATGTTACTGAGAAGGAGGTGGGTATACGCTTCTATATAGTCCAATGACTTTTTGGCTGATAGGTGGGTATACTGTCAACAGACAGAAAAAGGGGTGGGTATAGTCCATATACTTGTGTACAGTGTACCCTCCACTACAGCACTGGAGGGGATGTTAGTAATGCTTTATCTTACTCTATAATGACAAAAACTCTGTCTGTGTGTCTGTTCCACGTTTTTCTCCTCACTGACTTGGTCAATCCATGTGAAATTTGGCACAGTGGAAGAGGGTCATGGAAGGATGCAAATGAAGCAATATCATTTGGCCAAAGGGGGGCGCTATAGCAACCGATTGAAATTGCAAACTTTGAATGGGCATATCTCATGCCCCGTATGTCGTAGAGACATGAAACTTTGCACAGAGATGCCTCTCCTCATGAGGAACAAATTTGCATCAAGAACCCATAACTTCTGGTATATAGATTTTCTGCCATTTTGAATTTTTTGAAAAAGACTTAAAAAATCGATCTCTTCCTAGGAAGTTTGACCGATCTGCATGAAACCGGGTGAACATAATCTAGGGACCAATATCTAAAGTTCCCTCTTGGCAAAAGTTGGAAAACTTACTAAAACTGAGCTTCTATAAGGCAATGGATATTGCGGAGGGCGTGGCTCATCACATAAAGGTGTATAACATCTGAAGGGTTTCACCAATCATCACGCAACTTTGTAGGCATATGACCTCACATAATCTGAGGGGACCCCTCCATTATTGACCCCATCAAACAAAATGGGGGCGCTAGAGAGCTAATTTCTTATCTCGGCCTAACCGCCATATCGATTTTTACTAAACTTGGTAGATATGTAGAACAGGACGCCTCAAGGTGACTGGAGAAATTTAACTCTAATTGGCAACTAGGTGGCGCTATAACAACAGAAAAAAAATGGCTTAAAAATGGCTAAAATGGGACCAATCACTGTGGCTCCCCCTGTGGCCCAATGTTTTGTTTTTTTCTAATTTTTGGTATGACTAAGTCATGGTATGGTATGCTGTACGTAATCACGGAAACTGTCAGTGTGTCATTCAGTCAGTCAGTCATTCTGTCTGTCCCACGTTTTTCTACTCACTGACGTGGTCAATCTATGTGAAACTGCACAAAGGCATTGAGGATTGGCATAGGTAGAAGGTGACAAAGCTACCAATGGGTATGGACTAATTTAACTTTAAATTATTAATGATTTATTTTGTAAAAAATGTAACTTGCTGACAATAACAGTTTCAAATTTGTCCATATTTGTTGAATGACATGCTTACAATTTCACTGTAAGATAATTTGCACTAATATAAAAATGGTTACCTTAGAAGGCTAAGCAGTTAACTGAAACTAACATAGGACTTGTCTCACTCTTTTTATAATTAGTACAAATGACACTGTCCTTTACAGAAACCTTAAAGACTGAGAGCTATCTGACCCTTTTTAGGAAGTTATTAGAAGTTTTAGGACTCATAAGTGTGACTCAGATTTTCCAAAAATAGAGGTGGCAGCAAAAGAGGAAGATGTGATTCAGTGCACTTTAAGGACATGAGCCACTGATGTGTTTTTGGACAGACTACACCACAGCAGTTGTGTATAATGAGCTAAATTACCTGATAAAGTGTAATCCACCTGAGGCTTTGATTCCCCCTGTGATCTTTCAGATGAGTCCTTTCTGGTTCTGCTTTAAAACAATTGTGTTACCCACTCTGATTCACGACTGTTATCACTACAAAAATGACAACTCTGGTGCTGTTGAAAGCAATTTCATCCTTGGATGGTTCGGGGTCATCGAAACCCCAGCATTGATCACTGATAGATAATAATGACAATTAGTATAGAACATCCCAGAACTGTGTATGTGACTTCATCATTAAAAGTCCTACTCTAATGATGAACATGTCCAAACAATTTTGGATTTTTACTTATGTGGCCATTTAATGACTCCTAATAGTGACATAATTTACTCATATGAGGGATGAGTCATGGGGTGAGATCAGTCAGCAGAGGACAGAGAACTGAAATGCAGACTGTCGAGGCAGACGGGAAAAGTTCCATCTATCCATCCATCCATTTTCATCCGCTTATCCAGGGCCGGTCACGGGGGCAGGAGGCCAAGCAAAGCACCCCAGACATTCCTCTCCCCAGCAACACTTTCCAGCTTCTCCTGAGGGACCCCAAGGCGTTCCCAGGCCAGACGAGATATGTAATCCCTCCAGCATGTTCTGGGTCTGCCCCGGAGCCTCCTACCAATTGGACGTGCCCGGAACACCTCCAGCGAGAGGTGCCCAGGAGGATCCTGATCAGCTGCCCGAGCCACCCCAACTGACCCCTTTCGACATGAAGGAGCAGCGGCTCTACTCCGAGCTCCCTCTGGATGTCCGAGCTCCTCACCCTATCTCTAAGGTGAAGTAAAGTGAAGGTGCAAAGGCTTGCTGGTGTGGTGAGGGGAGCAAATCTGTGTGACTGTGAATCCACTGGCAAACCACAATGAAGCAGGGAAAAGATGCAGACAGGCAGAGACAGATTCCAGGTTACAGGATTCACATTACAGAGTAACAGAGGCTTGAAAACAAGGCATGACCAACATCGCATCTATGACAAGCTGCCTACTGACTGGAGGAAAAGGGTGTGGTGTATGTACTGCAGGGCTGATGAGGAAAGTGGGAACAGGTGTGTAGGTGAGAGGGGATGCCAGGTGACCAAGACTGGCAAGGAAGTCTGAGGACATCTAGTGGACGGTTTGAGGATGGCAGGATTGAAGACACAGGAGAAAACATGTTTTGCCCAGGCAAAACAAATAGTAGTGAAATTTGAGCAGAGATGAGCAGAGATGCAAAAGTTCAAATTATTGCATATCAAACAGGAATAGGTTATTTACAGAAAAAAAAAGAAAAATAAAAAAATACATGCCTGACAGCAAATTCATAATGGAGAAATCTTTTATTTTAAAATAAGACATGAAAGTTGAGTTATTACTTTTGCTTTTTACATTGTGCTGGTTCATTGAGGCTACTACACACACTTCTGGACAAAAACTACTGGCAGCAATTAATCCTGGACATTATCCTGTAAGTATCTGTAAAAGAAAGAAAAAAAATCATCTATGTTAAAAAAATAGATGTAACACTACTTCATTTAAATTTTTTTTACTCTCTACCTTTGCTGTACGTACCTGGGTAAGAACACAAGGGTCAAATATAAAAGGCTCTTCAAAGTTTTGACTGCATATAGAGAATCAATACAGAATTAACAACAATAAACTTAAAGGGAATAAAGAAATGCGATTATAACGAAGGGTGGGATCACTGATTGTTTTTGTTTCTCCAAAGTTAACACAGATATCCATCTTTTACCGTTAAAGACACAAAACATGAATCCATTGCAACACATAAAAAAAACAATCATTTATTATCAGCAGATCATTTAATCAATTATAATGAAGAAAAACTTACTCTGCAAGACAAGCACACACACAGTGGACTCCAAAGCAACATTGCCATATAAACATGGATTAAATGAGTTATTCTACACATAAAGTAAAGTCATGATGAGCTATTCACAAATTGAAAAGGCAATCAGAAAAATGCAGACCTAAAATCAAATGGATGACGCCCTGAGAAAGTCGTCTGAAGTTGTGTTATTTCAGAACTGATACAGGAAAAAACAAAACGTCCTTAAATGTACAGCAACATTCTTAAAATGAGATAAAATTAATGCTTTAATATCTGGCTGCAAGTGAGAACTGGTTTAACACAACATCAACTTTTTTTCTCCACATCAGTACATTAAACAACACGTCATCTGAGACCTCAAATGATATTAGGATTTATGTTTTCAGCATAAAATAATGCTGCAAAGACATGTTTAACAGTTCTCAGTTGATGTTGGTGTGGAGGGTGTTGATCAGGGGAGTGTGACAGAAACAGAAGGCACTGTGACGTTTTCATAGTTCACTGTAACGTCTTGTCCATTTGCATTACAATTCACCTGTGGAAAACAAATAAGCACTTGAGTTAGACTGAAATAAATAAATGTTGAATTTGAAACTGGAGCAGTCCGTGGACTTTTTAACAGTGAGACGTTACCGCAACATGAACAGTATCCACCAGCATCTTAACATCATTTACACTGACTGACAGTCCCTGATCCTTCATAGACATTTTTCATTTCACACATCACTTCACTTCAGTTTTTATTCCCAACTCACAGTGTTGTCATCAGGTGGTCTCTGGTTCCCTGGAAAATAAGACACGGAGGAACATATCAGCTCTAAACTTACAGTTTGTGTTCATCAGTCTGAACAAATGTTGGTGTGAATTTTCTCACCTGGAGCTCTGAAGAGATGAACAGTAATCACAGTTATAAGGAGGAGTTCAGCCACACGCATCACCAACATGATGTAGTCCAGAGCAGACCAATAAGCTGTACAAACTGTGCAACAGAGGAATAAAGTCAGAGAGGAAAGTTATCAGCAAACGAGCACAAATTCACAATTGCTGCGACCATGTAGGCTATGCCGATGCATCCCCAAATTGCTATGGACTGCCCAACGTGCATTTAAAGGTCCAGTTGGATTTAGGAGGATATATTGGTAGAAGTGGAATTTATTATAAGTAAATTTTCTCTAGTGTATAATTACCTGAAGATAAGAACCAATGTATTTTTGTTACCTTAGAATGAGCCTTTATATATACATAGGCAGCAGGTTCATGTCTACAGAGATCACCATGTTGCACCTCCATGTTTCTACAGTAGCCCAGAAAGGACAAACCAAACAGACGTCAACGTCAGCCACCATAGTTAGCAGCCCACCTGATATGAGAGTATCGGAAATGTGACAATTACTTTATTCAGTGTTTTTAGCAGTTTTAATCACCGGGTTTGTTTTGGAGAGGAGGAGACCTCTGTGGATAATTTGGCTCCTGGTAAAACCCTCCAGAACCAAGAACACTGACGGAATTCTCACAGGGAGAAGATTCAGCTGGTTGCAATCTGCAATCCTTACTGCTAGACACCACTTTATCTCCCTAAATCTCACAGGTACTAGCCAAAAATTCAAGAGGACATTTCTGTGCTGTGAAAATCAATTAAAAGAAAAATTATTTAAATAAAAGATTAACAAAAACCGCGTGTGTTTCATGTGTTACAAACAGCATTTTGGCTGCCCCTGTCTGTTCTGCTCAAAACCCCGTTGCTAAAGAGAATTAGCATACCTGTGACAGTCAACAGAGTTTAAACATTCATTTGATAGTTTAAATTAAATCAAACTTTTGGCTCAAAAGCAGCATCCAGTAAAAAAAACATTCTGCAACTACTTTTACAAACAAAAAATATCCCTCTCCAGACATGTTTTATTATTGACTACTAATACTAATATTTTGTTGAACATGGTCTTCCAACATAAAATCTGAAAAGGGGCTGGGAGCAGATCTATTCTGTCTCCCTCATTGAGAAATTTGCTTATGGTTAAGTTATCTTTCGCTTTAGGCTATCTGCTTTCTGCTTTCTCCAGCGCTGCTCGTGCTAGCATAGACTCACAAGTCAGTCTTTAGACACTTTGCTTAACTAAAGACTGATGACTTTCTCCCTGATTTTGTGTTTAGATGGGCGGAAACAATTTCAGAGTTTAAAAAAACTCCCTACGTTGCAGAACCAATAGTAAATCTGCAGGGCAGTCCTTAGGTGGCTCGCTGAACTCTTGTGCTAGTAAACATAATCCAACTGCTTTAAAAGTTTTAAACAAAGTCACTGTAAGTCCTTCATTTCCACAATCTTGTGGACTGAGCACACGTTTGATAAAATGGAGTTAAATCTCTCGGCATACATTTTCAAGCTCGGACGAGAAAAGGGGGAGCGCACATTTCCGGGAGGGAGTGTCCTTTTAAAAAATGCAAGAGGCGTTGCTTTGTTGCCGGCCATTTTCTCCAGTGTGTTAAACACACTTAAGAAAGGAGTGTCCCCAGACTATCAGAAGGCGGAGATCTTGGATTGTCTGGTGGTGAGACTAGTGCTAGTATTACTGGTGAAAGAGCATGCTGCCTCAAGATAGCTAACATTAGCGTTACAGGAAACAACAAAGATTGAAGCATACATGTTCAGATGAGGAATCTGTTGTGCCCCAAAACTGGCAACATATATGAACCATATCAGAATGTTAAGTGTAGTTAGCATCTTTTACTGGTGTTGTTTGTTAGCTTGTTAGCTTGCAGGCTAACTGGCAATGACTGACATCGTGTCAGTGTTAAAATAATATCTGCTACAATGTTTGTTTCTTTTTTGTAGCTAGTGGAAGGAAACTCCAAGTTTACATCCAAAAACTGCACATCTACCATGTTTGCTTTCAAAATGTTTGACTATGCTGATGCTAACTCTGCTCTATGCCAAGACTGCTCTGCACTGGAGGTTTCTATTTTCTTAGTTGGTGTTATGTGAAGTCTGTTGCCCGTCGTAATGTGTTTCCTTTGATAAACAGCAATTGGCCTTCATATCTGTGATGTACCTGATCCTGCTTGAAGCCAATTTTCATAGTGGCCAAACAGTGCAGTTACACCGTTATGTGATGCCCCATGGCCAAAAAAGTATTTTTTCCTTAGATTTACATGGCAAAAGAGACTTCTGTAAATCAGCGGATTTTTTTCCGAGCATCACAGCCCTCCCGAAATGATTCATTTCACTATCAGGATTTGTGGGTCCAATAACATTTGGAAAATCTAGAAACGCTGCGAGCCTGAATAATTTTGTCCCCATTCAAGTTAATGGAGCACTAAACCGGAAGTTGGTACCTGCTTTATGGGCCACAGAGTGCAGAAGCCATGCTGATCATCTTGGTAATTATGTAGACCTATATGGCAGTTGACTATTTTGACTTCATGCACCACGTGAGCGACTTTCATAGGAATGAATGAGGACCCGCCTCCAATGCTGTATCCAGGTCGTATTATACATCTATGGCATAGTTCCCCAGGAAAGCAGCTCAGCCTTGCTTCCAATGTTTATCAGTGACAACTTGCAGTATTCTAGTGAAAAAAATCTCCTATTGTTACCTGCTGTTGTGTTGTTTTCAGTTGTTGTTGCTGATTCTGTTGTTGCTGTTGTTGTGTCCTCACCTGAACAGATGAACACAACTCAAACTGTTGTGATGTAATATTAAAACTTCAAATCCATAAAATAAACAAATATTTGAGGTGATTATTCTCATCAGTTTGAAGTGACTTTAAACAGCTCAACATGTTCTCACCTGGTTTCTCACCTGAGGATTGAGATCTGAAGGGAAACTCCAGCACTTTGTCACCATGAGTCACTGCACATGTAAAAAACTTACAGCTTGATGTGTAAATGTAGACAGAAGTCAGAAAGGTCACAGAGGCATAGCAGAGAGACTGTGATGTCTTTATGTCCTTGTTGTCTTTATCCACATCTTGACCCTGAAACAGCCACTTCACTGTGTGTGTACATTGTTCATCTGTCCACACAGAGCAGGTTAATGTCACCTCATCAGTGTCCTTCTGTTCAGTCACTGGTGAAGATGGAGATATTGTGAGAGACAGACGACAAGAGTAAAATGAACTTCATCACTGTAATCATAATTATTGTAATGTTTCAGTATATTGTTCTAACAAGACAGTTTGAGCTGAAAACATGTTGGAAATACTCACTTCTAAGAACAGACATTTCATACCCACGGAAAAAACTTTGTTGCTCTGATTTGTGGTCCTGTATGCAGATGTAATAACCAGCATCCTCATCTGTGACCTTCTTCATAACCAGAGAACATTTCTCTGTAATATTCAGTCTGTCTGATTTAGCGTTTTCAACAAGCTGCCCACGATTAACCAGCTCTGTTTGTGAGCTTAGTTGTTGACGGAAGAGCCATGTAGTACCGTCACAGTTAACCTGATCATCTGCCTTATTTTCACAAGACAAAGTGACATCATCTCCAGCTCTGACAGTTAAGAAGGGCTGCTGTCCAGTTGCTGCTGCTGATAATATGAGAGAGAAACATAAGGAATAGAGAGAATTAAAAACATGACTATTAAAGTCAAGGGTTCACTAAAGTCCCCATTCACCTGGCTGGAAATCAAACCAACTACTTGGCTGTGTTGATTAAACGAAGGTTTAGTAAGAAAGGAACATTAATGATATTAATAAATCAGCTTTTTTAAAAGAATATTTCTGTTATTTACAGATGATATATGTATCCTTACCTGTAAACTGAAGCACCAGGATGAAAAATAAATTTGTTTTAATCCATCTGAATTCAGCCATCGTGCTGCTTCTGTGTATCTCTGCTGTTCTCACGCTCTAAACTGGTGCATCTTTCACAGGAAAGCAATAGGAATCATTTATGGTCACTTCCTCATGTGGCAATATAATGTTACTGAAGCTGCTGCAAACAGCAAAGATAAGCTTCTGTCTTAGTTATAAGAAATTTTGACTTGCTTTTTTAATTTTTTTTTATGAGAACTGAAGAGTTTTGATGAGAATGTTGGTAACAACAGCAGCAGAGCTCTGGACGTTTGAACACAAAGGCTGATCACATTAATAGTTAGTGTCTGATAGATGTTAAATAACTGCAGGGAAGAGCATTTTGCACACATGTACTGTCCAATCTGTTCTTGTTGTTCTGAAATAATACAGTTTGTCACAGGAGATGTCACATTCGTGCTCATCCACAAAATGGCAGCTGTGTGTGTTTGATGTACTTCCGCTGTAGTTTCTGTCCAAGTCTCTTAACTGGTGCTTCTTATGTAGGGAAGCAGTATCAGCTGTGGCTAAGACGAAGTCACTTACTCATATTCTGTTTTTTTTCTTATAGGTGGAGCATGCCACCTTTTCTCTCTGGAAATTTCGAAACAGCCATCAACAGTAACTTATAGTGAATGCAACTGCAACTAAATGATCCCCTATTCCCTGATCAGCGGCAATATTAGAAGAAATCAACATTAAAGAGGTCAGAGGTCACTGCAGCCTCGTAAAGATCCTGTGAAACTGGATTAAACATGTGGACTGAGAGGTGCTCAGGAGATTTTGCTAAATACACTCACATGATGCATTTGTGACATTGATGTTTTTCGCCTCCTAAGAAGAAGAAGATGACGGAGGAAGTCTAATGTGTAACAGCTGTCGGTTAACAAACATCTTTTGCAATAATTCAACTTGTTTTCTTTAGATGATGTTTGTTAGAAAACAGACAGGATTTATGGTGAGGAGGTGAAGAGTCAAACTCCTCACCCACCAGGATTTCACTCCTGATGTCAGTGGCGCACCAGTCGGATACCTGTTGGCTGTAAAAAGCCTCAACATGATGACATGTGGATGTGCCAGTAAGTGAGCTGTCAGTTCCTTATTCTGTTTAAATTAGCACTAAAAGTTA